CCCTAGAAATTGGATTTGATTTATGCCAGAAAATCTGTCTTTTCACTGCTTGAGATTTCTATGGAAGGAAGCCACAGTCTTTTACCAAACGGTTTCTAAGGTAACATCTTATAGCAGAGCATCTGAAACCAATTTGGTTGTTAATGAGAAATAGTTCTCACGGTGGTGGGAAAGTGTGGAGTGAAAGAAAAGGCTTCAAGATTTGGCAGTCTGTCTGGAAAGGCATTTAAATGTGTGCTGCTGCTCTGCTTATGAAATTTGTACATGAATTGCACATTCAGAGTCTGCCTTTCAAACGTGTAGGTCAGGTTCTTGATTTGTCCTTTACAAATTTAATTGAGTAGTTCTCAATGATAAGAATACTTGTGTATGACAGCTGCATGATGGAAATAGTTGGCGTTTTCCATTGGAAATATTGTTATTCCTACAGGGGGAAAAAATCCTTTTCTGAATGATATTTTTATTGTCAGGGATACTTTTGTGAAGTGATTTCAGAGTCATAGTATCCCACTGAAAATAGGGGCAGCTTACAAAGTTCATGTGCTTAATGTTGGAGGTGTTGTGCAAAACTGCTTTTGTAACTCCTTTTCTGAAGTTCTGGCTAGATGAATAGTGTGTCAGTGGTCAGAGAAGTACCTCAGTTTAGCAGTAGGTGATCTGAATTTCCTTCACAGTCAGACCCTCTTTGGGATGGAAGGGACGCAGTACTTCTGTCAACAATGGCTCACTGCCATTTCTTCCTTCCTCTCAGGAAGAGCAAAAACGAGCAATTCTGGCTTCCCTTTCCCTGCACACACAATAAATGTGTGACGGCTCTCTATTACTCTTACACCATGGCCAGGCTGTGTTCTTGTAGTCTGTTCCTTGGTGCCTGAGTAGAATTGCAGAGCTGAAATGACACTTGTGTACTCCTTTTTGACACATGCTTCAACTGCTCCAGCTCCTCTTGCACCATATTCACACAAAACCATATGCAGCAGCACCTGTTGGTCAGAGTTACAGCTCTGCACTGGGCCTTTAGGGTTGTAACCTCACAAAATGCAGTTACTTCTGCAGCTTTTATACAGCTGTGCCCTTATGTGGATGAGGTTTGGGTAAACTTGTGTTTATCAGCAGTATAATGTGTTTGTTGAGGAGGCAAGTTCACAGAGAAGGACTTTCAGGTTATTTTATGATTAACTTGAATACAACTCTTAAAAAAAGTATTGAAAGGTTTATCTAAAAGTAAAAAAAAAAAAAAAAGTAAAAGTATATGTAATTACTTAGCTACTGCTGCTCAGAAGGAGTTTTACTTGCTCACTTTTTCTCCCCATCTCTTGAAATTTTGTTTTGGTTTTTCCTCTGGAAGGTGTTCAGCTCCCTTAGCGATTATAAAGTGAACGTTTTCTGTTTGTCTGTTCAGCAGTCTGAATCAGTTTGTCAGGGGTCATGAATACAGAAGTAGGTGAAAGACAAGGAGGGAAGACTGTGGCTGCCTCTTTCAATAGCATTAAGCAATGATGATGAGTAAGGGCTGCCCGTCCGTGAGCCAGTCTATGGAACGGGCATGAATGGATGAGCGGTGAACCTTGAAATGTGTTGTATGTTCATTTGCCATACGTATAAGTAATGCTTTATGTTTTATCAGCAGATGTTAGTAATGTACTGATACCAAAAACTTGAATGAATTTATTATATCACATCAACAAAGATAGATTGTGACCCTATTATTATGTAATGTTGGAATAATAGAAATAAAATTAATAGAACAAGATTATTTCAAGCTCATTATAGTATACAACACCATATGCGTACAACAAGTATGTAAACATTGATAAAATGATTTTTTTTAGATTTCTTTTTCTGAAATGTTTACTTATAGATTTTTTTTTTAAAAGGTAGAAAAGAATGGGTATTTTTCTAGGTGTTCTGTTTGTCAGCTGTGTTTTAATTTAGTACTGCAAACTGATGTCAGGGAAATGATCTCTATCCAGTCCGCAGTTTCATTAATGTGGACTCTCCTAAATTAAGTGGTTCTGTTGATTTCAAGTAGCAGTAATTACTTACATCAGAGGAAGTTTGTAGTATGTTTAGATAAACAATATCTTCATATTTCTCAGAGAGTGTGAAGACATGCTCCTCCGGAGGGTGAGAGGGAAAGTAGATTCTGATTCCTTTTTGAGGAAAAAATTAAATGAAAACTATTAAACATTGATTTATGTAGTGAATTGGAACTGTTGCAGATGTAGCAGTTGGGATCATTTCCTCAAGTGAACCTTTGTTACTTTATTTTCCTTGAAGTAAGCGTGCATCATGGAATGGGGAGCAATAACAGATATATTCTCCTTTTCCCTTCTTTCCTGCTCTCTCCCCTTACCTTGAAAGGGTTAATATTAAAAAAAAAAAAAAGAAAAAGAATCTGTTTGTCCTGAATGTTCTTACTGAAATCTATTATGCATGAAAAGAGACTGAGTCCATTTGCCAGACCTCTAAATGAACTCCATTCATTCTGTGCTTGGAGAAGTCCATTCAGCCAGAAACAGGCATAATAATTACAACCTAATTTATTTGGCACTAATACCAGCTTATTATAAGGGATTTTTATGTAAAAGTGTAGTAATTCTTTAAAATTCTAGTTATATAATTTTTCAATAAAATTCCTTCAGTATCTGAATATTGAAAAAATTACATGTATAGAACTTGTATCTAGATTAGCACTGCATTAATCTAAAACCACTTATTAAGAGTTTGAAATAGCAGTTTTGGAAGTGCAATTTAACTTATCCTTTTTGGTGTAAAACAAGTTACAGAGAAATGATCTGTAGATGATGCAGAAATTGTACCAGTTACAGTGTCTGTCAGTCACTGGAGAAAAGAGCTTTAAAATTTTCTGTCTTTTAAAACACTTAAACTTTGTTTAAAATTGGACATGTCAAAATTGTAGGAATATAGTAGTGTTGTTTCATCACTCTGAAATCAGTGAAGAACTGAGTACTCCAAGTTTAGTAATCAAGTATGAGTCAGGGATTGTCCTGTTGTGAGTAGAATATCATGATCCTCTAAGTCTTTGTGTGCCAGATTAGATCATATTATCATAGAATGGCTTGGGTTGGAGGGATGTTAAAGATCAATCCCCTGACATGGGCGGGGTTGCCAGCAGTTAGGTCAGTCTGCCCAGGGCCCCATCCAACCTGGCCTTGAATGCCTCCAGGGATGGAACATCTGAGCTTCTCTGGGCAGTCTGTGCCAAGGCCTCATCGCTCTCTGAGTAAAGGATTTCCTCCAAAAATCTAACTTAAATCTCCCCTCTTTTAGTTAAAAGCCATTCATCCTTGTCCATCGAACCAGGTAAAAAGTTGGTCCCCTTCTGCTTATAAGCTCCCTTTAAGTTCTGAAAGCCCAGTGAGGTTTCCCCGTAGCCTTCCCTTCTCTAAGCTAAACAAGCCCAGCTCCCTCAGCCTGTCTTCATAAGCAAGGTGTTCCAGTTGTCTTTGTGGCCCTCCTTTGGACACACTTTTATTACATCTTAAGCGTTCTACCAGTGTTGAGCAGATTATAGAAATAACATTGACTTTACTTATAAGATTGGGAATTTAAAAAATAATCAGCATAAGCGCAACAACACATCATCAGTAGTGTAAAACTAACCTGTCTCACGACGGTCTAAACCCAGCTCACGTTCCCTATTAGTGGCTTGTTTTATATGCCCTGCGACAGTGTAAGTGCTCGTTCTTGCATGCATTGTCACAATGTGTGTGAGAAAGTCACACACATTAGTATGGGCATCCTCTCTCCAGTCCAGGCATGGAAAGCTCTAAGGGTGAGCCTAAGATAGTTGTGTTTCTGTACTCTTTCTGATAGTTTGGTTGGACTTACACGCTTGTTAATTTCATGATGTACTTAGTCTAGAAATAAATGCTATGTGTGGAGTGAAGGAACAAATTAACAGTTGGAGACAAATTTCACTTTATTTTCTTTGACCTGGATTCCTGTATGTATTAAATTCAGCAGAGGCTCAAGAGCTTGGTGCTGTTATCCATCACAACTGCACAGGGCCCTCCTGAAGTTCATGCCGTAACCTTCTGAGTGCTTGTTGCTGCTTCTGGAATTTGGGCCTTTAAATACAAGTCATCATCTTAGAAGCTTGCTTTAGTCAGTGACTTAGGCTGACTGAGCGTTTCCTCAAGCAAACTGTAGAAAATACTGTTTGTGAGAAGTCTGAGTAGAGGTGAGTGGGTGAGGGGCTCATGGCAAGAAAAACAACTAACAGGAAAGGGTAAGGAGAAATACCATCCTCTATGCTCTCAACCAATTCTTTATCTGGCAGTCCTCCTGCTGACTGCTTTTCCTGCTGAGTCTCCTCCTCCTTCCGTCCCCTTGACAAGTAAAATACACTTTTTTGTACATCCAGTGAATACCTACACAATGAGAGTTACAGTACTTTGTTACCAAGACTCCCTGTATAGCCATTCTGACTCTTGTGTAATATTCCATTGTTTTGGGTATTTCTGAGTTGGACATTATATGAATTGCACCTGCAGTATGGCCCAGCCTGGGGTTGTACAATGCAGTAATAACTTGAAGTTATCAGGAGGTCAACAGAGTAAATGTTTCAAGATATGCTTTCTGCAAAGTGAATTGTTTTCAGGTTATATATATATATAATTTTCAAATTGTTAATATTTTCGTCTGAAAGTCTTGTGCTCCTGTTTGAAAACTAAATGTCCCATATGGAATTTCCATAAAGTGTCTGTTTTCTTTTATGGTCTTCATCCTAGTCCATGACCCCACTTCTTTACTGTTGATCTTTGATTTTGTCAGAATTACTTCTGACTAGCATCAGCATTGTAGCATCCTATGTGTTTTCCCATCCTAGAGATCTGTATGGCACACTGCTCATCAGTTCCCATTTCTTTACTGTTGTGAAGTGACAATTCGATAACAACATTCTGAAGCAATATTTATAAAACAAAATAATGTATGAAATATGTTGCTCATCTTTCACTTCTGACTTCCTTTAGGTACTTCCCATCAAGGTGGCTATTCCCATGATGCTGTGGTCCATGCATTACGACAGTGTGGCATTCGTCATATTGACACAGCAAAAAGATATGGCTGTGAATCTCTCCTTCAAAAAGCTATCAAAGAAAGTGGTGTGAAGCGGGAGGACCTCTGGATAACTACCAAACTGTGGCACAGTGATTATGGCTATGAAAACACAAAAAAAGCCTGCTTGGAGTCATGTGAAAGGCTTGGTGTTGAATATCTTGGTATGCATTTTTGATACAGCTTATTTGCTATACCTGCCATGTGAGTAAAGATGAAAAAGATGAATGAATTCTGGAAAAAATGTTATGTTGCAGATAGATCATAAGAGCCAAACTCTGCCCTTATTTACACATTCACAAATTTCTTCTATTCTCGAGGAAATTTGTGTACATGCAACCGAGAGTACAGAATTTTTCCTTGTTGCACATCTTTTAAAATGGAAAAAGGTACAGTTTTTTTTGTAAAAGTACATTTCATTGTTAATTTGGGTATTCAGTAAATAAATTAGTGGCATATTTTTATGTAACAGATCCCAGGAGTGGTGGTACTTGATAAAAAGTAAGTTATATATTTCAAAATGCTTTTAGTTCTTCCTAGCTAGGTAGAGCAATGGGAAGAAAATGGAGGAAGGTGAATTTAAGGTAATTATCTAAACTAATGACATTGTTGGAGAGAGTATTTATGCTGACAAGGATTAATTGATCAACTATTACCTGTTAGTATCCTGAAAACACATACTTCCTTCTTTTGCTTTACACTATGCACTTATATTCACTGGCTATTTGGCTTGATACTTTGCGAGATGAAGGACCAAACCTTTATCTGTTAAAGATCTGTATATTTATATGCAGATCTTTGTCTCCATTCCTTGTGGAAATGTATTCCTGAGCTTCCTGCACAACCACAGAATGAAGTAGAATGAATTAATATCTGTTTCTCAGTCTTGTTCAAATACAGGTTGCTACAAAAGGATTTTCATGGTCAAAGTTTCAATCCCCAGCTCTGTCCTCAAAATTAAGAAATAGCATGTTTCTTTCTCTCTTCTTTCTACTTGTTTTGTTTGCTTTCTTTTTTCCTCTGCTTGCTGTGACACTGGTGCTGAATGCCAATGAGAGGAAAATTTGACTCACTTCCAGGAAATCTTTCTCAGTGATTTCACTCAGTACTGTAATTTGCTTTTATTTTCTCAGGTAGTAAGTAGACTGATTAAAGTCTGTGCTCATGCAAAAACTCAGTTTGGACATGGCTGTTCAGCAGAAACTGAAGGGAGAAAAATGTGGGAGCAAGAAGTGCACTAATATTGTCATCAAACGAGAGAATCCTTTGTCTGGCATAAACAGAACTTCATTCTGTGTTCGCTCTGTGTCTTCTTTTGCTCACATTACTAAGACAAATTGAGGAGTAGTTATAGGTGCCTGCACAATATGCCCCACTGTCCAGAACTATTCATTTTTTGTTCCCACTTGTCTATTTTCTCTCCTTTTCTTCCTTTCCTTTCTTCCACTAATGTTTCAGTAATTTATAAAGTTCTTCCTGACTGACCAGTTAGTCAGACATAGTGAGCTAAATTAATAATGACTTCAGTTTGTTTCAAGTTAACAATTTATAAACTGTGGTGAGTTAGGGAATATTTTGTGTGAAATTTGTGGATCTGTCAGCGAGGATGGTGACATTTACAAGCGGGATGGGAAGACAAAGAAGGCTGTGTAATAATTATTCTGTGGTTGTGTGGAAAAAGGTGCAGTTGAGTTCTATGTTCTGTGCTACGTGTGCTGGTGAAGTCGACCCTTACAGGTGGTACAATCCACAGTGTGTTTCATGGGTTTGTAAAAAGCATCCTGCTCTAGGGTTCTGTATACCTCCTGTCTGAAAAGACTCAAGTACTGCTGGAAGGGTTTTCAAGCAGAAAGTAGCAATATGTTGAAACGTGAACTTTTCAAGTGATTAAAGAAAGCCGAGAGCTTTTTGTTGAACGTTTTGAGACTTACCACAAGTCTAACAAAAAGAATGCAGAAGACTGGTTGGAAAATACAGTTATAAGCTTGTAGACCTAAACTTAGATACCTTTGCTCTCTTTGTTCAAGAAAAATTGTCGTAATAGCAGGGCTATTTATATCTAGGCTTATTTAGGAAAGTAAATTATTTAGTTTCAAGCATCTGTTAAAGCCAGCAGTTTTTCTTCAAGTAGAAGTATGGAATGCAGAGCAGAGTATTACTCAAGATTTCCTCATTTCATATGTTAACCAAATACATATTCACAGCATTTCCATAGGAATACTGGATTCAAATCGGAACTTGCAAGATTCTAGGTAACATATCTGTGAAGTTGCACCTTTGTTTGCAGACCTTCGGAGCTGCAGACCTGTAGGAGCCTGGCAGCCAACTGTGCAGCGAAGGTCTTTGTCTCAAGGAAAGCTCCACTCATGTCCTTGAGGGTCCATGTAGGCTGCACCAAAGAGTAATATAGTGCTAATGGAAAAATCTGTGAAACTGATAGGGGGCAGTCACTACTTTTTAAGAGAAAGTGTTCCATGTAAGTACTGTGACAAAACTTTTCTGGTAGATGCTTTTGGGCAAACGGTATTAGGAAAGCAGTGTTCCAGGATTTTTGCTTGAATCACTAGATTAAATATCCATGAGAAACTGGATATATATATGTTTTATTTTGTGGGCACTTCTTGTGTTTTCTAAATGCGGTGCTCCAACTAGCAGTCACAGTAAACCAATAAGAAATGGCAGCAGATCTTATGGGTTTGGCAGCAGCAGAATACATTCCTTGGGATTTAGATCAAACCTCCAAAGTAACTTCTTGAATGTGATTTGTGGGTTACTGAGTTCATAAACAATTTTTTTCCTTGTGCCTGTTCTGATTCTGTCAGATTCAACCAAATTTATCCTATCACAGATCCACAGCTGGAACTGGACTAATCTTGGTTGTATCAGCACACTTGGTGTACCATGTCTTGATAATTTCTTGCATCCTAGTGATGATAATACACCCAATTCAGATCATGAATTAATACAGAACGTTTTGGAGGCTGCTTCATGCTGATCATTATATATACATATAAATAATATTAGCAATTTGAATAGAATCATAGACTTTAATTTCTGTGGCCTTTAAATGTGAAAAGTCGCTTTACTTCTGAATTAATAGAAACTGTGTTGTCTGTAGGTGCCACAACCACTAAGTAGTCATAAACCACTCTGTTTTAAATGTGTGAAAGCTGTTCTCATATGAAGATTAGTTTTCCTGCAGCTGTGTTTTGACATTTGAACTTTAGGCCCTCATTTACTACTGCACCACTGTAACTTGATTGTCTGTAAAGCATGCTTTAAAAAGCTGGTAAATACAGCAGTCAATTGTGATTTTCTTAAATGCATCCTGATACCGTGAATCATTACTTAAAATTTTGAGTTAGGATTATTAAGGTTATGATTGTAAGAGACCTCAGAGTATTTCTTTGTCCCTTTACAACAAAGCAAAGTCTATGTCCATTCTCAACAGATAAAAAATGTAGTCTGTTCTTAAAAACGGCCACTGATAGCTATGCAATTCTTGATTAATGAAATATTAAGCAGTTTTGATTATTATTATAAACTAATTTCTTGCCTTTGAAATTAGAATGTTTGTGTTCTTGTAATCCCCCGGGGGAAGAAATACCTTCAGCAAAAGAAAATGTGTGGGTGCAAGTGTGAATGTGTGTATGAACGAAGGTGAAATGGTAGAGTTTGGTTTGTGAGGTGCTTATTGTTCTTATTGCTCCAGAGGTGTTATGGAAAGTTATGACATGCACTGGAAGTACACGGATCCTCATTTAAAATAGCTATGCTTAGTTTACTCAAATACAGTGGCAGATCTGTTGCTTATTGCTATATTCTGCTATTCTTCCACGTCTAGCTGTGCTGTGGTGGTTAGTGTGTGACTGGCAGAAAGACTATTTTACCCTGTGTATCAGAGATAAGGTACCATTTCCCCAGTTCAACAAACTCTTCTTGCAGTCAGAAGGACCATATTTTGTGATTCAGTAGATGCTTTCTAGTCCTAAATGTGTATGTTTCTAATTGCAAAGTATTTTTTATTGTAAAAAAAGCCTAAATTACAATAAGTGTCATAGGATGATGCCAACATTGCGTGCTAAGCATTTACCTTCTCTGAACTTCAAAACTTGTAGCACTGCGTGGTAGTCAAGTCTTAATTAACTAGTGACCAAAATCCCTTTAATTTAAGTGGGACCTGTTGTGTGTTGAAAGCTTATACTAATGTGACCGTGAAATTCTGGTTACAGTGACCTAAACCTGAAGTGAAAGTGCAACTTCGGCCACTTTTATTTACTTGTAAATTCTTACAGGATTTAATTTATTAAAACTGAATGGATGTATTTAGTAGTGATCATGGAGTTGTGTTTTGATAATAGTATGTTAGGGGCCTCTGTGGAGGGAGAGTGCTGTTTCATGTGATTTGACATTTTTTGAAGACTTTGATACCATTTCTTTTCTAGATCTTTATTTGATACACTGGCCTGATACTCATATTCCAGGTAAGAGCAATCGGGAGGTTCGAGCTGAAACCTGGAGAGCAATGGAGGAGCTTTATGAGAAAGGTAATGTAATGATTAAAAACTTGTCTTTGCAGAAGGAATTACGATGTGTTTTAGGCTTTGGGAAATCTATAATGAAAGGTGTTTAAAAAAAAAAAATCATTTGAGTTGTGTGCTCATATTTGGATGATACTTGAACACGTCAGATATTTGAGCTTCTTTGAAAACTGCAGCATTAGTGTTCTGGTAAACTAAGAGAGTTTTATGTTGCTTTAAGTAATACGTTTCCAAATTTTGCCTGTGAGATTAATGATGTGCATACATCCTTGAAAAATTCTACAGATTATGTTGAAATGTATATGTTACAGCAGAATGTCTTTGTAGTAGCCTCCTCTGTTGTCAGTATAAATCACACTACCAAGTTTTATTTTGTTTTGATCTTTTAAAATTTATTTTAGGATGTCATTTTTCACTTTATCTTGTACTGTGCTATTTCATAGGACTATTTGTGTTTCAGTAAATGTCAACAAAACCAGCTGGATAGGTAGGAACAAATATCAAACTGTAAATTGTTTGTTTTTAACTTTTTCAAAAACTTTCAGAGGAGGGAGCTATTCTCTCAAGTTGAGGTTTCTGTCAATATGTTTGGTTTTTTTTTTTGGTGCATGGCAATCTTCTGTTTATGTTCATATCAATAGGAAGAGTAGGCTGCCCCAAGCAATATTTATCATGTAGGTTTGAGGGGAGGATTTTGCTCCAGAAGTATGAACAGTATTTTTAGAAACAATGTAAAAGAAGGTTCTGTCATGCAGTTTTTAGGCAATGTGATCCCACCGTGTTTAGATCTTCAAAGAATTTATGTGGACTGCGAGAAGAGTTCTTGGTTTGTCTATTTGCCAGCTCATATACTGAAACAGTGCTTGTAGCAGTAGAGTGCTGCCCATACAGCCTGAAATTGCATGCTGTATGTCTTTTATCAGTTTTATCTGAGTAACAAACAAGCCCATTTTTTTGCAGTTCTACCCTTGAAGTGTTTTCGGTTTGCATTTGGAAACACAAAAGTAAATTATCTTTGATACATGTTTGGTTCCTGCTTTTTATATTAAGCATAGGGAAGTTGCAAAAAGTATTTTCTGCTGTGTAAGGGATTACAACATTTAGTTTTGAAAGAAATACTGCACCAACCACCAACCTCATGTTTCAAGGCGTCAGTGACTTAAGTCCAAAGATGGATTGGATCATTCAGCAAGCTATTTTGCTTTTCCACTGAAAAGTGCTTTCTGATGAGTGTTTAGGCTAACGCATGTCATTTGTGCCTGGGTATGCCATCCTGATTTGCTGCAACTAGGTTATATTTTCACTTGCTGTTATTATTCGTATCCTGTTGTATTTATTCTGCTTTTGCTTATATATGTGATTTTTTATTTAATGTCTTTCTAATGAAAAAGATTTTGAGCTATTCAGTGATCTTCAGTAGGACACTGGAAATACTATCACTAAATTCTTTTTTATTTTTTGTTCCTATGCATGGTATTTCTTTATAGATACTGAGGTTGTATTTATTTATTTATTTTGCAGTTACATTTCTTTGTCACTTTGCACGACCGTTTTCTTAATTTAAGCATTCTGTAGGCTCATGATTCACTCAATTTAGCCTAAGTATTCCAGCTCTGATCATCTACTTTACCTTAGGTGAATTTGCCCTCACCTGTAGGTGATTTGTTAGTCTGATTGAATCAAGTGCCTTTGAACGTTAGCCTACACGGTTCTGCGTTAAGGGGTGCAGACTCTGCATGTTCTGACCATAACCAGAAACTATTACTGAAATGATATGCAAAAGTTAACCATCTGGAGATGGAAATGCAATGATTCCTGAGGAAAATGTTAAATAACTTGTTTGCATGGTTAACCACTAGACTTACAGTTGAAGATTGAACGATTACTGCATATCTTTGTGACTTGCTATGTGTTATGTGAGTAACATGTTAGCCTCAGTACAAATTGAATATGTGATTTGGTCAAAGTCCTTACTTGAGGGGGAAAAAAAGAGTTTTAGGCTAAAGGATGAGTTTTTCATTTTCACTGAGTGCAGCTTTGGTGCAGGTAGTCATTGGTTCCTGTTTGCAATACTGTTTTTTTAGAGCATGTTTACTGAGGGCTAGCTTGAAGCAAAGCAACAGTATAAAATAAAAACTTCAGGTGTAAGGATTGTTTATTTAAAAATGAATAATATTCCTCAATCCGTTCACAAAGGTAAGATTGAAGTTATTCAACTTGCTTTTGGGTTTAGCAACTAGTTGTATCTACACTGAGGAGTTTCTGAAAATGCAATGACATTGAACATAATTCTCTGTGGAAAAACTGGTTTGTTTTATGGGATTCATAATGCATATCTGCAAGACACTGGTAAGATTAGGAAAAAATCTCAATATTGACCAAAGTCTTTGGTCCAGCTGAGGTAACAAGATTTTCTGTAATGACTTCTTTATATTCACAGATACTTTGATAGCAGATATTTGAAAATCTCATTCTTTCAACCTCTATTTAAATCCAGGTTGATCTTTATTCTACAAAATTCCACTCACCTGAGGCAAACCAGATTTTAAAGTAATATAAATTATTAATAGTCTTTTATTATATCACCATCACCTGTTACTCTAGCAGGCGGGTAAATAAGTTATTAGTACCTGAGTCTGTAAAAGTCTTTGCAGGTTGGGTTGTTTTTTGTGTTTTGTTTCGTTTTTGAGTTACAATATGTTTTATATTGGTCACAATGATCAAATGCATTTATATTTATAGGTATGAGTTTTTTTAGGTTGTGTAAGCAAAGATGGATTCCATCACGTTTGTCTTAGAGCCACCGAGTAGTAGCAGAGACCCAGGCAACAGAACTCGTAGGCCTTTTGGACTGAAATATCTTCTCAGCCAGTTTAGGAGAGAGTACAGTTCTTGAGTCTGTGCATCTGTCTGGGTCAGCATGTGCTAAAACCCAGTCCTTGGATGAAAAAGGTCTCTGTGTGAGATGTTAAAAAAAATCTAAAAGATTTTTCGATATTATTTGAATAAATATTTTAGGGAGAAGAAAACTTGAATGAAAAGTTAAGCAAAACTCCTCAGATTAGAACAAGTCCAACTTCAGAAAATTCTCAAGTACTTCTGGCTGAAGAAGAAATAACAGGTTTGTTGTTATTTGAATGCAGTGTGTGCAAATGAAAATGGATATGTAAACTGATACATGTGCTTTCACTGAAACATACAGGCATCCTTAACTTTACTTTTTCATAATCTTTTAATGCTTTGTAGTGCTTTCTCTGTGTTTTCTTAAGGAAAGCTTGAGGTTTTCTGTAACATCAGAAGCTTCTAATAACTAGAAAGCAATGGGTTTAGGTGACAGAAGAGAGAGATCTCCTTTGCTTTCTTTCAGAAGTCCCCACTGTGGCTTGACATTATCCATGTTTTTAAGAACCTTCTTGTATTTCATCAAAAGTAATTGATGGTTAACATTCTTTAAAAAGAATCACCTGTTCTGATTTTATTTTTAACTGGAAATATGAACAACTTAAAATAGGAAAGAATCTGAATAGTGTTTGTCAGTATTTGTCTGGTTGTACTTTCTAGATGGTTGGTTCCCATACTGCAGTTTTGGCAAGTGCTCCTTGGATCCAGTGTTCTGGCAAACTAAATGAAGTCCAGTTGCTGCCTCAAGGCTGGGGTCTCAGGGACACACTAGGAAGAAAGTTTTTAGCGCTCTCTCCATTGTGCTTGAATCCAGTGTCCAACTTCCTAATGCAACTGAGCAATTGTCTCACAATCTCACTTCAGGGTAAATAAATTTTCCCAGAGTCCCAGGTGATTTTCATGAGTTTTTTGTAAGGAGAGTACGACAGATGCAAGTTTTACCAACTTCAGGTTTTTAAGTCCCTCTGGGTTGAATCTGAAGTGTGGTCAATCCTGTGTTGTTTTTTTTGTTTGTCTGAGCTATAGAGCCTGTGGCAGACCCAGCATTGCTCATTTTCTCCTGACTAAATCCTTCAGTATGTTTCTTATGTTTCTTATGTTAATGGTCCTAACGGCATCTCTCCCTTGTTATCCTATATTTTATACATTTCTTATCTCTAGCATTTCTTTCCTACAAACAAGGCAAAGTTATGCTTTTAGCTAGCTATATATTTTTTAAATATTATGTTGTATAACCAGATTTTGGTAATTAAATTTGCTGTTTTCTCATAATAACCTAGGGAAGGATGTGCTCCAGTCCTGGTCAGTAAAAGTGGGTACACATTTTGAATGACATACAAATGGATAGCTTTTTTATCATTGTATATCAAGAACCAAAATTTGTTAATTCTACATGCATTTCCTTGAACCATATGGGAAATGTATTAGAACTGTTAGTCATTATGTTAATGAGTTATAACAGTGCCTGATTCATGAGGTATTCATGTTCAGGTTAAGAATTGTGCTGTGAGAATTGTGCTGTCCCTTAGTGTAAGTAGTAGCTTAGTAGTAGCTTTAGAGTAAGTAGGGGTTCGAACTCTGCACCTGGGCTTGTTAATCCTGAGGAGTGGCAGCAAGTTCCACTGAACAATTGTTGCAGCTTCTTTTCTCTGACAATTAGGAACAAATGATTGTGGGATAATACTTATCATTTTCTTTACTGTTTTTTTGAATTGCTGCGTGTATCTGATGGTACAGAATAAAGGCTCTATCAGTGCTAAATAGATTTATTTAAAACTAGTGGTAAGACCAAACTGCTAGCAGTTTATCCACAGTAGGAAAGATCTTGCTGTTAAAATGGATTTCTACTAACGGAGGATTAAGGACTCTATAACTTCAATGTCAAGAATTACTTTATTTCAGTGCTATTAAGGCTGGAAATGTAACATATTATTAATATCTATTTTATATGTATATGTGTTTTAAGTATGGTGATTTGTTAACCTGCTCCAGTTTGATTGTAGCAGTTTCACAGGAGGCAGTCAACTGTCATTGTGTGTCATAAAGTCACAGTGAGAATAATCAAGTCTGTATTTGTTGTCCAGTACTGAGATGCAGAGAATTCT